GAGAGAGAGAGAGAGAGAGAGAGAGAGAGAGAGAGAGAGAGAGAGAGAGAGAGAGAGACCGAGGACGAGAAAGATAGTGGAGAAAAAGAGGAACAGAGAGGGAGAGAGAGAAATGATAATCCATTCGGCGGTCATAACGCAGAGCCCGGCACCGTAAAGCTCACCAGACAAGAAATACGGCCAACCAACCGACCTCTCTCCCTCCGCTTTTCTCTCTTTCTCTGTCTCCTTCCGTGGTCTCTCTCCCACCCTCCTCTCGCCTCCTTCTCTCTTCTTTACCCCGCGGCGAACTTACCCTCGGTTATATGCAAACCGCCATCGTTCCCCCACCCCTCCAGGCCAGTCATAAACTTACTGAATTATATTACGCGGAGCCCCGCTGCCTCTCTCTGTCCACCTCGTCTTTCTTCCTCTCTTTGTTCCCGCGATGCTCTTCATTCGTCCATCTCTGTCCTCCTTTCTCCTCCCTCTCTCTCTTTTTCTCGTTTCTTTTTTTCTTCTTCTTACAAATCGCGAAGCAAGTCGCAACAGGGTGAACAGCGTCCTTTAGAAACCTATGGAATGCTAATAAGACGAGACTCCGTCGTGAATACCATTCATTCATTGTTTCAGACTGCTGTACGTATAAAAATTGAAACGGTCTGCGCCGCGAGCGCGAAATAAAATTACAGCTTCTTAATAAGCGGCAGCTGCGCGTTAATCAAGCTCGACTTTGTGCTCGCGCAGTGTACCGTCCTCTCCTAGCTTGCGCGGAATTTATCGCGACAGAATGCCCGGTTATGTTGTAATGTTTCAATTTTCTCTCGCGAGAAAAGGAACGAAAGCTTTTCTTTCCCCGCCGACGCTGGGTATACGCGTGTTCGTACGACGAGATCCAAAGAGAAACACGACTTTTCTCGTCGCGAGATGAGATCCGCCAGCGCGGGGACAACGAACGGTCTATGAATTCGGCGGTGCCTTCTTCTCCCATTTAGCATCGATTTTCCGCAAGTTAATCCGTGCCGGCCGCGCAAGTCGACGCGCGTGACATCGATCGGTCCATTCTCAATGTCGTAACTGGCGATGGGTGAGGAGTAGCGACGACAAGCCGGGTCATTACTGAATGCAAATCATAGCGTGACGCGATCGATGAGTTTGCACGACGTCCCACGAGCGAGCGAGCGAGCGAACGAACGAACGAACGAACAAGCGAACGAGCAAGCGGTGTGCGTAACGCCGTTTAACCGTTTAGGGGTTCGTGGCGCTCCAACGGGGTGAGAATCGGCCGCCACCCGGCTCGACACGCGCCTCGTTGGCCCGCCGCGTCGATCAGGCTTTTTTTTCCTCCTCGTCGCATTTTAATAACCACGCCACGTAACCACCCTCCTTTCACGTGGGTGTCGGCGCGCTTATCAGCGTTTATAATATCCAGAAGAAGTAATACGGGGAAACAACTTCGCAGCGGCAACAGCAACTTGGTCCGACCCGGTCGAGCTTAATGTCCCATTAAATCCAGCGCCGGGGGACTCCTTTAATAGAATCTATTAAAAGACTCCGGTTGAAGGAACGATGCGGGACGACAACATCAATCGGTCGGTGAGAATCGTTTGATTTCGCGTGCCGAACTCAAACTCCAGAGGAATAAATTAATCGCGAGCATCGCGCTTTTCAAACCTAACCGACATGACCCGTGCTAATAGCTTTAATCAACGCTTTAGCGGGATAAAGGAGATATAAGCGCGGCAGTGCACAATTCGCAAGAGAAATACGTATAAATGCTTTTATTCTCTCTTTTGTTGATAAAAGTAACTATAAATGTAACTTATAAGCCTCTGATTGACTTACAAGAACATTTAGAGATTTTTATCGGAAAAAGAGAGCTCAGAATAAGAGTTAATTAATATTTATTCATAAATTATATATTTTTCCGACACATTTTTTAATTGCATCTCACGATTAATGCAAATGGCACAATATTATGTGTTTCTTTGAGAAAAGATATAAATTAAAAACTTATAACTGAATGCTATTAACTCTGATATCTAATTCTGGACATTTTTATTATTTTGGTTTCAAATACTTTTATTATTTTGGTTTAAAAATTTAAACTTTCAAGAATATAAAGTAGAATATAAAGTGTGCGTACATGAATATTCAATACAAGGTGTTAAAAAAAACATTCAACATTTATATGTTAGATAGTACACAGCATACTGTCTAAAAAGTAAACATAGATCGAAAACTCAATAATTTATGAGACATATAATTTGTTTATTAGAAATTGTTTCACATAAAGACGTTATAAAACATTTCCATTAACACAACCGTACATAAAATGCATATCTGCCATTTTTTTATTAGAATAATACGTTGATATTTTCAATACGATTCTTTCTAACAATGTAATTATCAAACTGATCTAAAATCGATGGTTGTATAGTGACAATGAATGATGAATGATTGCTGGTGAAATATTTTTAAAGTATGTATGGGAATTGAATGAGGACATTCACAGAACGCAATTTGTAAACAAGATAAGCGTCATTTGCGACACGTACTTGGTAGAAACTACTGATACTATTGATACTAATAGACAAAATCGTTTATATCTCAGAAATGATTGAGTTCTCGACCCATATTAATTAAGACTTTTTTCATTCAGTATGATGTGTACAGTTGGGGACTAAAAGGTTGTTTGTAATTTTTGGGGCTTTGTAAACTTCCCATTTTGTCCAATGAAAGAATTCGTTTTCCAATAGGAGAATGCTCTCGTTAGACAAGAAGGATGAGTTCTTAAATTCATTTATGTTAATAATTAACGTGACTCACTCAAAAATTGTGGACAAACTTTTAGTCTCCGACTGTATTATTTACTATATGAACACTGAATGCCTTCTTTAACATCTTATATATATATATATATATATATATATATATGTGTGTGTGTGTGTGTGTGTGTGTGTGTGTGTGTGTGTGTATTGAAAATTTTATATTTGTATTTACTCGAATCAAAATTTTAGGCCTGCTTTGGATTTAAACTTACTAATATCAGTATATGCTAAAGGATCAGTGTAATACGCATAAAAACTAAAATCCTATTTAACATTTCTGAATAACAAGAAACGTATAAAATGCCATTTGTGACACTTCTAAAGGATCTTTCGGCAAAGTTAGTAGATTAAATAGAATCAAAAGATTGATATGGGCAATAAAGTATCAAAATAGACGTTAAATGGAATATTGAGGTCGGAAGTAGGATAAAAATATCGACTCGGGTAAGACCAAAACAATAAGAGTGCCTAGAATCAGGTACCAGTGTTATCAGTCACCAGGCATTAGTACTTTTACCTTACGCCACTATCAGACAGACACACTCGTCGAGCCCTGCACGCCAAACTATCTCTATCGCACGCGACGGGACACGAAAATCTCGGCGGATTGACTCGTCATCGACGTCATCGTCGTCAGCAGCTTCGGGACAAAATAGTGTATCAAATCGCGCATTGTAATTGGAACGTTGGCACGGCACGTGACGGGGCAACGAGAGCGCTCACTGCGATCACAGTAAGACCTGCTCGTATATTATTCCTACGGAATCATAACTCTGAGTCTTGGTATCGAATCGAATTACACGGCGATCGCTTGCCGGGCGAGAGGAGTCCGAACGAGCGACGCGCGCGCGGATCATCAGCCGGGCAAGGGTGGACGGCGTCTTCGCACGCGTGCGTGCGTGCGTGCACGCGCGCAGGGTGCACGCGCGTCGAACGATAATGCGTTTTCGCGCCGCTGCAGCCGATCGTTCCACGACGATGCGTGATGCGTGTGCGTGTGTGTGCGTACACCGGCTCGTTCTTTTTACGCGTCGCCCTCCTGCTGCACGGCACGAGCGGTCACGTGCCTCCAGCAACCACCCCCGCCCACCCCAGTTCACCCTGTCACCAAGCCACCCACTTTAGACACCCCTGCGAGAGTCCCGACCTACCCTCCCTCTCTTGTCACCTCCGCCACGAGCTTTTTCGCCCGCTTTCATCTCCCGCCGGCCTTTTCGGCTGCTCCACTCTCCTCTCCTCTCTTCACCCCCTCGCCGCCCTTGCGACGCGAGCGTTCGTCACTTTAATAAAAACCTACTTACTTTGCAGAGAGAAACGCCGCGAACTATGCCTCTCGCGACGCGTGTCACACGCTTCGGCGCGAAATTATCGCCGGATGGCGACAAAGCGGCCCACAGATGATCTGCTCTTCGAGTTCGACGCTCAATGTCGCGTATGATTCAAGTATATCACTATTAACGGTGGTGGCTGTGAATTAAGAACTACGATTTCTGCGAGAATCTATACGCGATACTTCGGACTGCTCGACAATTATCGCGCCGCCAATTAGTCGCTTCCGTTGCAACGAGAGCTTTTCGCTAGGTAAAGACAGACGTTACCAGCACGCTCTGTGCGAAACACAGGTCGCCTGTGATCTCCCAATTGACAGTACCACCGCGAATCCCGCGACAAGCCCCAGCTAGACACGCATCTGCGCGAAAAGCAACTACCTCGTCGTCCGCCACGAACGCGCGATGCACGTTGTCGTTCCGACGAACGTCGTACTTCCTCGTGATCTCGGGATTGGCGACGGATAGAGGATCGTTCTGCAGGTAGTTTGCTGCCCACGCGGCTCCAGGGCAGGGGAGGGCTGAGACGGGAGGTGTGTCGTCGCGATCGTTTGGTCGTTCTCGCCGTCGTTTTGCCGTCGAGCGTCGTTTGCACGAGCATCAACCGGCGAGACGACAATGCGAAAATATATATACGATGCAGCCCCGGGCGTGCCCTGGCCAGCGCCGTTGAACTTTAATATTACAAAAAGCTGTAATCCGACGAGCGAGCTACCTGGAGCGTTAACCTCGGGCGCCCAATTTATAAAAATAACGATGAAATTACTGTTGCGTGAAGTGTAGCGTCATACAGGACACCGATGCACCGGCGCCGCATCGCGCGAAAGGATGACGGCTATTCGGAGTCACGCGAGAGGGGCAAGAGGAGGAGGAGGAGGTCGGTGGCGGACGGACGGGCGGGGGGGAGGGGAGGACGAGGGCCGGTTAGCCGAGGGGTTGGGACACGGGTTGGTGCAGCGTTGCGCAAGGGGCGCCGTGACGTGCGTTTTGTCCGTCATCGGCTACCCGGACCATCGGGGCGTCGATGTTTTAGTCTGCGTTCGCGTTTCACGTTCGAAAAAATATGCGCACTGGCACGTGAGCTAATCGGTGGTAATAACGAAATCTCGGATCCGATTAATTAAAACGGCGAACGCGCGGCGGCGGCGGCGGCGGCGACGGTGGCGGCAGCGACGACAATCGAGAAAACGAGCTCTTGGAATTCTTCTGCGAACACGCTGCATATACATGTATGCGTACATACGTCGATAGCATATGTCGTCTCCTGCCGCCGGTCTCTCGTCCAGGTCTCCTCCCGTCCCGTCCCGCTTCCTCCCGTTTTTCTGTCGTGCGCGCTCTCTCGGAATAAATACCCGCGAAAATGTTCGTCGGAGATGAAATTAATAGCTTTTTTTTC